GTATCCGTGTCATTCCTTCTTCGCTGACTCTGTCCACACCTTTGGGGAACCCCTGGACCTGCTGGGGTTGGACCCCAGCAATTCTGGTCATGAGTACAGACCTTGGTTGCAGGCTGTGTCCCAGGCCCTGGTCAGGACTCCTGAAGGTGACAACCAATGGATGTAATGTTCACACATAGATGTTTCTCTTGGGTTTGGGGCTCTATCCCCAGTGGGGGGCATGCAGGAGACTGCTGATCCATGATTCTCTTTCAACATTGACATTTTGGTCTGTCTCTGCCTCTCCCTGCCTCTCTGAAATAAATAAAATATATATATATTTTTAAAAGGCCTTTCTGACTCTACCTGTTAACAGAAGTCTCTCCCAATTATGTTTTTTTATGCCATTGTATTTAGACATTAGTTTCAATTATTCATTTTCTAATGAGTCACCTATTTTCAAAATAATAGTGCTTTATATTTCAAACAAATAAATAATATTTTAAGTAAAATAAATATCTTCTTTGTAGGTGAAGTTATTGAACAACTACTATAGGATTATGTCAGACTATTGTAAATTCCTATGGTAATATTTTTACCAGTTCTTATGAAAGATTTTCATTCTCCCACTCATCATTAATGTACATTTCACTGATGTCTAATTGGATTCCTGAATCAAGGCAAACAGTAGCCTTTCACCTCCCAGTACATGCATTTTTCTTCACCCCTTGCAGAGAAGTAGGGCCTTGCAATGACTTCTAGAAAATGGAAAACGAGAAAAGTGTGTCTTTTCCTGGTGTTGGCCTTCAGTGCTCCCTCTTTCTCTAGCTGTACTGACCCAGAGCTGTGACAACACATGACTGAGGGAGTTAGATCCCTGGGTGGGTAATGGAGCTGCCCTGCTGGTCTACACTGCACTTTTTAAGAACAAGCACCTGAGATCACCACGGCATAGCATGGCCATTCTGATCAGTGCAGTGGTCCCTTGTACCTCAATAAAAGCTCTGAGGAGAAACTTTTCCAGTTATGGAGAGACAAATAGTACAGAGATATGCACAGTAAAACTTTATTTCCAAACATTGTAAACAATACCATACAGGCATACAAATAGAAGCGTGTTCTCAAAGGTTGACAATTTCCCATAAGGTCAAAATGAGCATGTGACCTTGGCAGGTCATACAGTGGTTGTACAATGTAGGTTCACAGCCCTGGCCACTTGGCTCAGTTCCTTGGAATGTCTTGTCATACAACAAAAAGTGGGCAGGCTTGATTCTCAGTCAGGGCACATAGGCTTTGGGTCCAATTCATGCACAGGGTGAGTTCAGGAAGCAACTGATGGATGCTTCTCTCTCTCTCTCTCTCTCTCTCTCTGTTTCTCCTTCTCCATCTCTCTCTCTCTCTATCAGTAAACATCATCAGGTGATAATTTTATTTTAAATATTTTTTTATTGATTTCAGACAGTAAGAAGGAGAGTTAGGGACATCAACGATGACAGAGAATCCTTGATAGGCTGCCTCCTGTGCACCCGACTCTGTGTATTAAACCCAAAACCTGGGCATGTGCCCTGACTGGGAATCAAAATGAACCGAGACCTTCTGATTCATAGATCGATGCTCAACCACTGAACCACTCCATCCAGGTGCAGTTGAGAAATTTAAAACAAAGGTATGTTCACAATTGTTGGCAGGCAAAAGTTTATTCTCTTGTTATTTGTTATTAATTACTGTACATATTTGTAACACTATTGTCAACCTGCTTTTGCTCAGCTTTGCACATGAAATTGTTATAAAACATGAGACACAAAGCAAGACATTTAGAATTCCCAAGAATATTACATGGAAAATAACAAATAGTAAATAGAATATGTTTCTTATGGAAACTTCTGACTTAGGTCAGTCAAATCTCCAACACAGTCTCCCGAGAACTCAGCAAATGCAGCACAAACTGCAAGGACACCCTTGCCTAGGGAACCAGAGGTGTTACCACACAAAGCCAGAGGAGGAAGCCCTGGCAGTAGGCCTCCTATCTGGAAAAATCCTGCTCACAATGTCAAAGGTGGTGACCAGCTTGCACAGGCGAGGGGAAGGCACCCAGAATTGTTTCAAATGTTCACACTGATGATGACTCCCCACGTATCAGAAGAGTATGACAAAGTATATTACTCACACGGTGACATTTTCGGGGAGAGAAGGGCGGATATTAGAATAGGTCCCAGAAGGACTGAGAGCCCAGGGAAAGGGACTGGCTTGTGGTGTTCATGTCGGTTACTGGGTGCTGTTGTTGGGAGCCTGCTGACCCTGATGGAAACTTGCTTCATTGGAACTTCCCCCCTGCCCCCAAGGATGGAGCACCTGGACTTTCTCATTAGCTTTCCCAGTATAAGGTCAGGGAGGAGAGAAGGGTGAGTCCTTAACGCTTTCAACATTCAAACATCAAAAGAGGAATCAGGATTTTGGTGCTAAGTATTCCTTTCAATATAAAGGGAAGAAAATAAGCCAACAAAATTCCCCCCAAGTTGTTCATCACTTCACTCTGATTGTAAGGGATTCTGAAGAAGGTCCAATGGAGAAATAAGGCCTAAGTTTCTCTGTAAAGGTATCACGGAATCCATCCAAGAATGACCTGCTATTCAAATTATATAATGAAACCTCTCCCAACTCATAGTCCAGAAAAACGCCAATCCTATGTTGCTCTGCACAAAAAATGTGGAGTACATTAGTCTTCTGCTGATATTGCCAGCATCCATTGCTTGGGGATGGTGATCTGAGAGTATTTCTGAGGATAGATTCTTTACACAGACCTAAGAAACAATCACCTGTGCCTCCTATTTCTACCTGCCAAAAATGCCTGCCAGCATCAAAGCCCTTAGAACTCAGGACAGCTGGGTAAGAAGAGTGTGCCTGGGGATTAGGAAGGCCATCTGGTCTCCAAAAGGTCACACTTTTTCTATCTCTTGAGATAATGAGACTTGGATGGGCAGTTTCAGGATCCAGTGTCAAATCTACCTGAAACGTGCGGATCATTTTATGCAGGCCCAAGTAGTGTGGGGGGAGACAGCAACTCCTCTTTAATTCATATGAAAACACTGCTGGGGGCTCTATGTTTCCATAGCTGTTGTGGATGCTTTCAATGCCTGTGAGTAAACCCAGGCCTGTCTGCAAACACTTCTTTTCTATTTCACTTAAAAGAATGTTTAGCCTGAACATATGGTATGAAATTTGCTTTCCATTTTCAATTAGTTTTTCTTCAACATCATTTTCTTCTATAGGCAAATCGTTATCAATTTCATCTCTCTCTCTTTCCAATAAAAACTTAAGTTCTTTACATTCATAGTTCAATTCCTCCCTCCATTTTTCCATCTTTCTCTTTACTTCCCAAGTATTTGCAACTTGTTTTTTATATACAGCTTCATCACTTTCAAGGCTGTTCGTGAGGACCCCAATGTGCCTTTTGAGCATCCCTCTCTGACTAGCTGCTGCTTCCTCAATGGGGATCAGGCGCTGATCCGGGGGGTCTAAGGGGCCCTTGCACTGGGGACACAACAACTCCAGGCTTTTCTCACAGAACAGGGTCAGGACCTCGTGGTGCTTCGCACACAGGGGTATTTCTTCCTGCATTTTCCTCTGGCTCCCGGAGGTGGGGATCTGCTGAACAATCTCAGTCATGTGACATAATTGGGTGTTCCTCTCCAAGCTCTTGTCAGGGCAGTGGTGGAGGCAGACAGGACAGGGAAAGGTGCCCTGTAGACCTTCCCAGCCCCTAGAAGACCTTCCCAGCGCTGGTGGATGCAGGAGGAACAGAAGTTGTGCCCACAGGCAATGGTCACTGGGTCTCTCAGGTAATCCAGGCAGATGGGACAGCTGGCCTCTGCTTGGAGCTTGGCCAGGGAAGCTACAAAGGCCATGGTGCAGTGAAGGTGACTCCTTTCAGTCAGTGTGATCCTCCAGGAGGGAGGAAAAGTGAGAAGCTGAGGTCTGCTCAGGTCTCCCTCTCTGTGGAAGTCAGTAGGAGCTTCCAAGAAGAGTTCCAGTGGCCAGCTGATGTGTAGCCTTCCTGTCACCTTCTCCTGTAGTTAATGTCAGGTTCCCTAAGTGAAGATCAGCTGTGGACTCTGGTCAAAAACCAAACAACACACAAGTCATAAGTAGTTTCTGTGGACAAAAAGATATCACTATTAAAAGTTCAATCAGCATTAACCCTTCCCTCCCCGTATGAACATCATGTCAGGTAGTCCACATCAGTTATTATGACAATATTTAAGGAGGAGTTAGAAGTAAAGTATACCTATTTTGCAACTTAAGAGAAATTAGTCAATCTAAGAAAATTCATCATTGCCCTTGACCATCACAAAAAAAGTGATCTTGTGCTGTGGAGAAGAGACAAGGATTTGTAAACCAAGATCGAGGTCCTGCCTACCAGAGGACGCTTCTTTGTGAAGTCCCCAGGTGAGTCACTGTCACCATGTCGGAATAGGACGCAAAACCCTCAACAGGGGACTTGGGGAATAAGAAGGAAGAAGGATACATTCAACTCAAAGTCATTGGACAGGACAGCAGTGAGATTCACTTCAAAGTGAAAATGACATCACACCTTAAGAAACCCGAAGAATCATGCTGTCTAAGACGGGGAGTTCCAATGAACTGGCTCAGGTTTCTCTTGGAGGGTCAGAGAAATGCTGATAATCACACTTCAAGAGAACTGGGAATGGAGGAGGCAGATGTGAGTGAAGTTTATCAGGAGCAACAGCGGGTCATTCAATGGTTTAGATATACTTTTTCTTTTCCCTCAATCTTTTCTTATTGTTAAAAATAGTACCTTAATACTTGGGTGGTCAAAATGGAATAGATAAGTGACCCTCCCCCGCTTGTCTTTTTAAAACCTCTGGTAATTTGAATTCTAGTGCCCATTATTCATAATTGTTGGTTTTCATGGTGCTGAGTTTTCATGATCAAGCCTCAGCCTCCTTCATATCCCCCTCTCCTTTTGAAATACTACATGTGTGCACAGGGAGGCCACCCTTTTCAGGACTGTGCATTTTGATGCTTGTGATAAATTAAGACTCTCTTTTAGAAATATAAAATGAAAAGTTTACAAGTAAACTCATAGAGATTTCCTGCCCAGAAATGGCAAAACGTTGGTACGACTATAGGTAGAAGTTACAAAAGAGGTTACTTATAAAATATGGGTTCTTCATACATGAAGTCATAAGATTTTCTCTCCTATTCTGATACCTAGAATATTCTATAATTTACTTTTAAAAAAATTAACCATTTGAATTCCATTTCAGTGTTTCTCTGCTCTCTTCTAGCCAAAAATGTCTCTTCTATTTCCTTCCTTAAGCTTCATCCATGTCCCTTCATCTCAGAGTTCTCAGATCCACTTCATCTCCTTTTTTCCTCACAGTTATTTCAAAGTGGTCCCCTTTCTCCACTCCAAATCCATCATGTTTCCCTGTTCCCACATCCCATCCCCACCCAACAAATCTCCCATACTGAGATAAATTGCGATTGAGAAAAGACCGAGGCTGGCATTAAAGTGCCATCTGCTTGTAGGTTATATGGGCTGGATTTCAGGTCTGACTTCAGTCCGCCTGTGTCACTGGGGATGGGATTTTTGATCATCTGTTCCTCCAGAGACAGATGCAACCAGGAAAATAGTAACTGCCTCCCTTTCAGTTTGGTGTCAGCATACACACCAATTTAGGGAAACCTCTTGGAACCTCTGGTTTTATTTTTTAAATATATTTTTATTGATTTCAGAGAGAAAAAGAGATGTTGAGAGAGAATCATTTATTGGCTCCTGCCTGCAGGCCCAACACTGGGATGGAGTCCATAGCCTGGGTATATGCCCAGAACCAGAATCAAACCTGGGCACTCTATTCACTGAGCCAAAATGACTAGGGCAGAAGCTCTGGTTTTAAACAAAAATATTTGACAACAGACACTGAGACATTCTAGAAGAGGATTCCCACAGGCAACTTCAGACCAGCACTTCAGGGCACTTTCCAGGTGCAGATAGACATTAAGTCACCTCTTAGGTCAGATTGGGATCCTGGTATCTGTATTTTTAGCAAGCATTTTGATGAGGTAGGGCAAGGCTGAGGGACACCAGCAATAATGAAAACACGTGTCTTAAAATAACCTGAATCCAAGAGGTGATTGGCTTATGAGGTAAAGTCAAGGCCCTGCTAGAGTAGCCACCCAGAAAGCCAAGGGTGGGGAGCAATACCTCAGTGGCTCTCAGTTTGGTCCTACCTCCCACACCAGTATCATCCCCACTCCCAGCTTACCTGGGGCCTGATCCTTTTTTTTTAATTCTTATTCTTATTATTTTATTTTTATTTTTTATTTTTTAAAGATTACTTTCTTTATTAAGTGATTACTCTTGAATGTCTCAAAGCTCCTTCCAAAATCCATCCTTGCCGGGGTCCAACCCCAGCAGATCCAGGGGTTCCCAAAGGTGTAGACAGAGTCGGCGAAGAAGGAATGACACGGAGACAGCGTTCAGTTGATCAGCAGCCTAGCCAGGATCTCCAGCCAAGTTCTGGTCTGGATCCCCAGAGAAGTTCTGCCGT